TCATGCGTGGTAGGCACCTGATCTTATCTATAGGTATAATTTAGTTTCTCTGAAGGGGTAGGCTCACCAGTCTTCAAAAGCTCCCCCTTGTTTTCCTCACCCCACTGGAGCCCCCCAACTCTGCAAGCACAGCCTTCCCAGCTCTAATGTCCCCACCAGAGCCCCAACTCTGCCAACAAAGCCCCCTAGCTACCTGCCAGCGAATTTTCAAAGTGAATTTTTGCTTAGCTTAGTGAATGAGGTTAGCTTTTGCTGACTTCTAATCATGTTTGAGCACAAAACCGGTTTTATTTTTAATGTATCTTCCATATGACTGGATATTCGTTGCAAAGGTAGTTTTTCCTCATTTGCTAAGCTTCATGAAAATTCACTTTGCAAAGTGAACAAGCTCTGTTAGTTTAGTAAGTCAGCTCCTTCAACAGCATTGTTTTTTCATTACAGGGTTTGCGATTAAAAATCTTAACGAGTGCAGAGATTAAGAAGTGTGTGGAAACACCTGCGATCGACGACAGAGTAGGAAGTACTGTTCTTTTGGGTAAGTTTATTGCAGGATCTATTTCATATAAAATGAGTGCAAACTTATTTCTAGATTTGAGTTTCCTTTTCTCAGTTTAATACAGAATGGTTGTGAGGACAGCTGAGATTGATATGTAGTTGACACGTGTTGTAGGGAAAGCGTAGGGAAAGCGTAGGGAAAGCTGACAACCTGCGCAGGGAGAGATTAGGGTCTGTTTTTTCTTTAATTCTGATTGCTTCCTCTTTGGGCAATCAGCCCCTTTGTTGCCTTCATGTTTGTCTTTCATTTTTTACTGTAATGAGTAGGGATGCACCGATACTCGTACTCGCCCAAATGCTCCGATACTTATCCCCGATACCGAAACTTCCGGTCAGAGGGAGATTTCCTCTGACTGGCAGTGCCATGAGGGAACATGGAGCCAGCTTCCCGGCTGTGACGACATGGTGATCAGTTTATGAGTTAAATGTGTATTGGTGTTGAGTTATGTTTGAGTGCGTTATACTGTGTAACCTGGTTAGGAAAAGACTGTCAGCACCATCCCTCGTTATCTCCCATTGTTCTCTGAAGGAGCTCAGGATAATGACATTCTGGCCAGGCTCCTGCTATGGCTGTCTGGAGCTCGTTAGCAGGGGAAACCCTGTGGTGTTGTGAAGACAGAATGTCTGGGGGGAGGGCAGGGTGGATGTGATGGGATTATAATCTGATCTCATCACTTGCTGTATAAAAGTTTGTGCAGTTGCTCAATAAATCAGAGTTTGCTTCACCCTACACTCGTGTCCCGACCAGTGACTGGGGAAACTGGGAGCTAAGGATCTTCAGGTTACAATATCTCCTCAGCAAGGAAGAAGACAGAGGCGGACATACTCATCCTGAGTACTGGGGTCCGTCACACCGGCCAATCAGGGCGGTGGGTAATGACACGCCTCCCGGCTTCCTGATTGGCCGGGAAGCAGGCTCCATTCTAGTGGAAGTACCAGTATCGGTACTCGGTATCGGCGAGTACCCGAAGATAAATATCATTACTTGTACTCTATAACGAAAAGCCGCTACCACTGCATCCCTAGCAATGAGGTTAGCGGTCAATTTTAGCTGCTGTTCTATCCATAGCTATTTTTTTTGCAGTTCTTCCTTTGTAAAAGTGGGCTTTTGTTTCAGGGTTTTGGTATTTTGGAGGTTTTCATTTATTTTGGGGATATACTGTTTTTATTTTATATTGATAGGCCCTTTTGTGCCTTGGGGTGCTCAAAGTAGAGCATTTAATTGTAATTGCCCATCTTTTTTGGGGGCTGCCTTTTGTCTGCAGCACTCTGCTGCATCATAAAAAAATGTAATATACAGCCAGGTATGCAGAAATAAATATAACTGTTCCACACTATATGTATGCATTATGCACTACAGTGTTCGGGCCTTGACATGTGCTCAGCCTCATCCATTTTCCACTAAGGAAGCAGGTTGTCCCACCCTCCCTCCCTTAATGTTGTGATTATGGGGGTTTTCGGGGGTACTTTTGTCACGGCAGCTTGACGGGTTAGGGGGTCTTTGGGGGGTCTACAAAATCGGAGTTGATTACAAAAATGGGGGGCCCTCAGCTGGTATGGGTGCCTCCCCCTGTTGGTGTCCGGATCTGTTGGTGTCCGGATAAGTGTCCTCGAGCTGGTTGTGGTGCGGCTGGGGACATGGGTGGAGTGGTAGGAGAGGCCTTTTTGGGCTGTTGGGCATCAAAAAACCCCTTTTCAGGTCAACGATCATTTACAGTATTATTTGTATATATTATTTGGTTTATTACTTTTGGTTATTGTTAAAATTGTTTGGTTTAATAAAAGGTCTGCTGTGGCCATTAAAATCCATGTCACGCAGTACGAGTGTTTATTGGGGTTTTGAACGAAGGGACGAAAATTGACGAATCCATCAGTCATGTTTGAGTGTGTGAGATTGTGTCTGTGGTTGTGAATGTATGTCAATGTTTTTGAGGGCCTGTTCCCGCGCGATGAATGCACCGTACCATGCAATTGCACCTACCGCGCATTCTGGTGTGGGAGGTGTGTTGCATTGCCATTCATTTTAATGGCATCCCCAACCCACCTCCTAACCACAGTTTGATCGCCCACACAGTACCGCAATGCTGTGTGTTTCAGTGCGGAGAAACTTGGGTCACAATGTAATGACCATGGAGAAATGTGGGTCCTGAGGTTACACAGGTTGAGAACCACTGCTCTAAGCATCAGATGCACCCACAGATTTTGTATGTTAGCTTGAATCCATTCATCCGATTGACTGTGAAAGCGTTCCTCTAAGAAAAAAAGCTTCTTCCATAAAAAAAAACATTGAAGGAGAAGCAGTTTCTCCATTTTGTGTTTTCCAAGCACTATACTAACATGAAAAGAAAAAGCTGAATGCATGCCTTCAAACTTTTTGAAAGGGGGAAGGGGCAGAGGACACACCCAAGCACTTCCCCATTACACAGACTACGACAGACCCTTTTAAAGCAATTGGTTATTGATTGGATAAATCCACAAGTGTTTATTTCACAAATTCTTTTTCTTTATGTTGGCTTTTAATAACAAATGCAACAAAATATATGAAAGGTTTAATTCAGTAAACCATTTTTCATAATTATTGTTTTTGTTTTGTTTCACAATGCTAAACCGTGTAAGGCCGCTGTGATATGGGCGACAGGCATTCCAATCAGCAGAGGATCCATGCACAGTTCCCCTGCTGATCGGAGCAGTACAGTGCAAATATCATTTTTGCGACACCCAAATCAGTTAAGTTTTGTCTCCATTGCAAGAAATGAAGTAACTGGATCTATGTTAGGTCTATGGGCTGTTGGATATAAGCGGACAAGTCCGGGGTAAGTGGATGTAAATGGACAAACAACTGTTTATGTCTGGGTGCTCAGAGCGTTGTATTGGGCTTCCAATCAGATACGCCTGAAAAACTGACAGGCAGATTTGACTGGCCTGCCCATGTGAAAAGGGCCTAATACATTTTTCATTAACCTTGGCTATAAATAGATAAATAATTTTTTTAAATATTTTTTCTTATATAGACGTTTATACTGTACATCAGACCAAAAAGGAGGGACAATTGAGAATGAAAAGAAAGAGGGATAAGGCTGAGTGCTACATGTTTGGTGTAACCATGTGTGTATTTCTTTTTAAGCTCGTGTCCCAAGTGCACCACATGAAACAAACCTCCTGACAACAGCTAGAACAGCAAAAAAAGAGGAGGAAAGAATACGAGTCTATTTTCCTGAGACCTTACTTTTTGAACTTATAGCACTGGGGTAAGTATGAACTAGGAGTGAATAGAGTGTTATGAAGGGAATCTGACATTAGAACATAATGAGCAATGGAAAGGTTGGACCTTGGAACTTTATTGGAGAATCCTTCGTATCAAACAGTTGTAAAAGTCTAGTTTCTAGATTTCAAATAAACCCATCTATATTTGTGTTTCTGTCTCATCTGTTTAACTCCAACTGTTTTCACATATATATGATTTTGTTTTTGCTTTTTAGAACAGATGGCAGTGCTGAACTCCACAAGAAGGCACCAGATACCATCACAGACTGGAATGGAGGGGCAGTTTGCTTGGGTCCCAGTGGATTAGGCCTGTCTTCTGCTGCTTCTCTTCGGGTCTTCCAGCCATTCTTTGTGGAGCTTACCCTGCCGTACTCTGTAGTGCGGGGAGAAACATTTACCCTAAAAGCTTCTACATTTAACTACATGGAGCAGCCTATGAAGGTAAATAAAACTCAGAAAATGAATGCCACATTATATAAAATATATTTTCCCCGATTCTATCTTCCCATAGGCGGTTTGTTGTCCAGCAGTCATAACGGACTATAAAGGTTTTCTACTTCAATTGTATATTTGTTGAATCCCTTGAAACTTTTGATAATTGGAAGAGATAGTTTCCACTTTTCCCTGTCATACTTTCTCTTCGCTATAACCAAACCTGTACGTTTTCCTGCCTGTGAATGAGTGGACAGTTTTAGCAGATCAGTGTCTCTTTTATTTCATTCTTAGAGTTTATCAGGAAAATAACTGATCATGCTTTTTGTCTTACAAATCAGCAATATATATTGTGCTGGTGAAGCTTCTTTTTTTTTAGCTAAGAAAAGTTAATGCTAAAGGCTAGCATGTATACCTTGAAGGCAGATGTTTGACCAGGGGATTGGCATGTCAGTCTCACTACCTTCAGACTAAATAAAACCCTGGTGGAGCAAATTCTGAACAATACTCTTACTTCTACTGAGAAAGAAATGCTTTTCATTTGGATATAATATTTATGATTTATGCGAGCATGACCAAGCCTTTATTAAGCCCAACAGTGCAATTATTTTCTGTGTAATGGGCCCATAGCTTGCCACAGCATAGTAATGAGTCTGTGAGACAGAGATCACTTGAAGTTTGATAGTTGTTGCCCTATTAACTGTCTAATGTCAGGCTAATAATCCATACTTTGGTAATCTAAAAGAATCGGATTTATTCTTGATGGAAATATAAAGTCAAAAAGTGACTTTAGGCCTATTGGTTCCCCTAACCACAGCCTCTCAAAAACCTACTGATGTAACTTAGTGGTCTCTTGGAGTGGGCTCCATCCAGGTCTAACCTGACTATGCCTAACTCTTATTTTCACATGTTCTCCATAGCTGAGTGGTGCTTTCTGTTTAACATAGAGACACTGATTGGCTGGCTGTATTATATGATTTTTTATGACATATTCTTTTATCTTGAAGATGTAGGGTGGAAGAAGTTCAAAAGAGAAAATGGCTTCCGTTCTTGCATAAAACTCAAAAATGTGTTTAATTACAAAGTTACAAATGATTACAAGATAAATGGCATGAAACAAAATATAAAAATAGATCTGTAAATGTGTAAGTGTGTACACGTGTAAGTGCTCTAGAATGTGAGAATAGGTCCCTTTTTCCTTTGTGAGAATGTCCCGCCCATTTGCCATGAATAGCCTTTTTAAAACATGACAGGCTTTGGGTACCTCACAGCTGAAATCCGAAACTCTTCAGACCACTAATAGAAGAGAGGGGGATGGGGGAGAATTGCCCCCACCTTCCTATAGCCTTAACTATAAGTTAAAATGCCTTCAACTAGAGTCCCGGCAGCAAAAGTCGCCGGGAGTCTGTTTAAACAGCCCCGATGCTGGCGACGTACACTGTACGTCGTCAGTCACGAAGGGGTTAAAACATATAATGTTGCATGTATCAATATATATATACATAATTCAATGTTCTTTCTTATATTAATAACTTAATCAAGAAATATTATAGTAAAGAGATATAATTCATAGTTTGTAAACACTTCATAAACTTTGATTTAGGCTAGGTTCACGTATGGCACATTGTGCCTGCGGTCCGGTGCAGTGCGATCAAAATACTGCAAGCACTATTTGGATCGCACCGCATTGGACCTCAGACACAATGTGCCTTGCGATCCTGTGTGGACGATCGCATTGCGGCCGGAGGGCGTGGCTACAGTGCCATTCACTTCAATGGCCCGCCACGCCCTCCTGCCCCGCAAAGAAGTGAGCCAGCCGCAATGCGATGCAGTGCGTTCTGGCCAGAATCGGCCCGAAACGCACTGCATCTGGTATGAACCTAGCCTTAGAATATTCTGCAAAGCGACCCTCACACTGTCTTCCTCAGTAATTAGGAATGTGGGAAGTTCTAGCCATCTCTACCATCATGATTGATGAATAACACATGTGCAGCTAACAACTTCTAGTACAACCAAAACCATGCACTTTAGTCTGCTTGCGTATATTCCCAAACTGAACAAATGAATATATAGAAAATCAATCATCACTTAAGTTCTTTACATCCATACATAATCCCTATATCAGCGGGTTTTTTTTTTCTGACATCGGGGGCCGCCGGCCACAGTAAGTCAGAAAAAAAAAACACCATAGGAATGCATAGCTAGATTCCTATTGGCTATTTCACTTTGCAATAGCCAATATCAAACTAGCTATTGCACTCGCCCTCTGCTGCTGCCAATCAGCAGAGGGGGGCCTGAAGTTCTCATCAGGTCCTCTTCTTCTGATTGACAGCAGCAGAGGGTGGGTGCAATAGCTAGTTTGCTATTGGCTATTGCAAAGTGAAATAGCCAATAGGAATCTAGCTATGCATTCCTATATTTTTTTTTTTTTTCATTCTGACGGCGTACGCCATTGGTTCTCAATCTGTGGGTCACTGTGTGATTACTGCTGTGCTAGGTGAGAGTCCTCCTCAGCCCTCTCCTAGTGCAGTGTCAGTTCTCCTGCCACACCATCAGATGTCACTGCAGCAGCCGTGTCATCCCTAAATTTTACTGTTGGGGGTCATCACAACTTGACAAATGTTACCAAGGCGTCCCGGCCCTGGAAAAGTTGAGAACCATTGCCCTATATGAATAATACCCTATAAACATTATTAGTATTGTTACTCATTAGAGCCCCTGTGCCACGTCAAAAAAAGCAGTACACAGAACCAGTGTTATACCATAGCAGAACACAAAAGCAGGAAAAGTAAGGCAGCAGCTTTGTTTTGGAGGGAACACATTACAACAAACTGGTAAATATTTAAGGACTAAACCTGCGTGTTTTAGCATGGTGGCAGTAAGAAGAACTAGTGGACCTTTTTGACATATGGTCTGCTTTTACACTACATCTCATTTATAGTAACAATGAGAGATATGTACAACAGTAAATTGTAATGTCACTTTTTTTCCAGATTAGGACCACACTGCACACCACCAGTGATCTAGAAAAAATGCCATGTGAAGATTGTCACCACACCAGCTGTCTAGGAGCAGATGAGAGCACAACATTCTTCTGGAAACTAAAAGCCAAAGTCCTGGGTAAGAGGTCTTTCTAAAAAATCATGGGTAGACCTAGGTAAATGTGCTAAGAATTTCTCTTCTGGCTTATAGAGCATCATGGGATTTAAAGTAGAACATCTGAAATTCTCAGCTTACACATTTTATAAATTTATACAGCAGATGAGAGTGACATGTTAATATCGGGCTCACGAGGCCCATGACTCATTAGAAGTGTCAATATACAGGTGTGCAGCAGAACTGCGTTTAGCGGTCTCACTATGCAACAATGAGACTCCCTCACCACCGTACTGCTGCTAATAACAGGGCTTTGCAATGCATCTTCTTACAGGATCAAACCCTGTTTCACATAAATAAATTAATAATTAAAATGAAATAAAATAATCCCTTCTGCACTAAAATGCCATTTTGATTTTTTTAAATGTGTGCTGTAGACTACTATATACTGTATCATTATGTCTGTGAAGGTTCTCATTCATCCAGGTCATGGTATATCTGTAAAAAAATAAGTCAAGGCAACTGGACTTGCAGTATTTTTCTCGAAGACATTTCATCGGTCGCCCAACCAGCTTTCTCAATTCAGAGACCATTTATGTAAAAATTGAGAAGCCAAGCTTGAATAGAGGTGGGGGGGGGGGGGGGGGGGAGACACTTTACAGACTGACAGTTTTAAGCTCAAAAACTGTGGAACCAGCACACGATCATCTTCCAAAGAAATTCAAACTTTATTCCACATGCATTTATACAAGGCACAACCGCTGACGCATTTCTGCCTTACTCGGTCTTAAGGCAATACACTGAGGCAACAACTAGTTCACCCAAAAGACCCAACGCCAAAACACAAGATGAACAACATTGTGTATGCAGTCCAGTGCAGTGGGGAGTGCTCAGAATTGTATGTCGATGAAACAAAACAGCAGCTGCACCAGCGTATGGCACATCATAGAAGAGCCAAACCCTTTGGTCAGGATTCAGCAGTATACATACATCTAAAGAAAAAAGGTCACTTCTTTGAAGACAACCAAGTAAAGACACCATTTATTTAAAAATGGAGAAGCCAAGCTTGAATAAAGGTGGTGGTGGGGGTGGGGGGTTCAGACATTTTATTGTCTGCCACATACAATGCTGTTTTTTTTTTTTTAATTCAAAAGTCAGCTTTATTGAGTAAATATACGATACATGGTAATTACATACAAGTATATATAACAGTCGGAATACAAGCGGGATAACATTAGTGGTGTGCCCATGGTGAAGGGCAATCGTCACAGAGCAAGAACTGCACTGACGGGCATGTCACTACGCATAACTATTTTGTACAAGCATGGTTATCCAACATTTATCAGAGATAAGCACATCATACAATGCTGTTTTAACACCTCTCTCTGGGCTCCCATTATCCAAATGCACCTGGTTGTGACAAACGCATGTGGATTGGAACAACATTCACCATATTTATTCCCAGATAATTTTTTGTACAAGTCATTCTGAATTGAGAAAGCTGATTGGACGACCGGTGAAATGTCTTCAAGAAAAATACAGCAAGTCCAATTGCCTTGACTTATTTTTTTTCCAGATATACTATATATCATTGCTCTTTTCACTTGATTAGCATTACTACCCTGACATTTTTTGGCCTAAAGCCAATCTTTCTAGCCTCCTTTTGGACTGTAGTTACATGATGTAGTCCGCAAAAAAAGTCTAATGATCAAAGAAGCACAAAGACCTAGTCATGACATCAGATATGTATTGAAAACAGTTTTTTTTCCTTTTAATTCCATTAGTATGTTGAAGAAGGTGGTAGAAAGGAACCAGGGAAAATATAATCAACTTTTAAAATCCAAAAGAAAAAAACAAAAACTTATTTTATGATTTATTATAAATATTTTTCTCTGACTTCTGGCAAGCATGCATAGCTGAGGGTAACAAGGGCATTCTTGTGGGTTCCTGGGATGCTGAGTTCCCTAAATCCCACAAGAATGCAGGACAATGCAGGAGTGTATTCTTGGGATGCATGGGATCCTCAGCTTTCCCAGGATCCCACGAGAAGGCCCAATGAGGTCAGCTGTGCTTACAGGAAGTTGTGATTTTTTTTTCTTTTTACTAGCTTCATTTATTTTTGCTTTAACCTAGCCTTTTTGTATTAGAGGTGTGAAGGGCTAGCTAACAAATAGAATTTATATTGTCTTGCATTGGGTTGTGCAATGGTGTAGCAGCTCTTAGATTGAAGGCACGGCCCTTGAAATGCATCTACTGAGAATGCACATCACTATAACATTTTGTGTACAGCATTATTGTGGCATGGTGACAAAAAAAATAATTTATGTTGATAGTAGAAACTAGAATGAAAGTGTTGAGGTTTAGGTAGAGGTAGATGAGTCCCATGTATTTTGTAGAACTCTGTGGATTACGTTTGTGCTACATAAACAGATGCAAAGAAATAATGTATAGTTACTAGTAATTAACATCTGTGCCTCCTTCTAGGACAAGTAAACATCACAGTGAAAACTGAGGCTCTGCACACAGATGAATTGTGCAACAATGAGATACCGATTGTCCCTAAGAGAGGAAGCACGGATACAATCGTCAAGCCTTTACTTGTTCAGGTCAGTATGTATTATATGTATCCTATAGTGTCTGGAAAATCTGGGAACAAAAATCACCTTTCTGCTTGCCCATGTCAATACTTTGCCCTGCTGTTAAAACAAAATAAATAGTTATTTCTCAATTTTCCCAATTCAGCTAAAATGATGTCTTAACACTGAAGGACATGGTAAAATATGGGATGCATGAGTCCAACCTAATGAAAAAAAGGAAGCCATCAGCATAAAGACTTCCATTTTAAAAAAATTTAAAAACCTATTTCACAAAGGAAATATTTTGTTGCTGAAGGCAAATGAAAGAAAACAGATAATGCTTTTGTCATGGCATGAGGGACCACAGCATGGCATTCTGGAACCAGAATTTCACAATTTTTTAGCCAGAGCTACATGAATGGAAGTAAAATGGAATAGCCAATATTTTATATTTGATCACCGGTATAAATACATTGCACTTTTCTTCAAAGGTTGGTTGTGCTGCTGAATTCCTACCTCCAAAGAGAACTAACCTACCTACAATCTAGCAACACCCTCTTCACTTATTTAAACTGCTTTAAAACAATTCAAATCAAAATCATAACCAAGATTCCAAGTGATATAGAAGAGCAGCATAATCATGTGCAGGATTTTCCTCTACCCTCCTTTGTGCCACCCAAAGCAAAACCCTTCTTACCACCAGCATGATAAGCCATCACCTTAGTAATAATTAGACATGTGCGATTTGTTTTCGTTCCAAATCAAAACTCGAATGAATTTTCTGAAATTCCAACATACGCACACATCCGAATTTCCTACTCCCAATGCATCCGAATGTGTCCAAATACGAATTTCTGTTTACGGAAATTAAACTGAAACGAACATGTGACTTTTCTGGCCAATCAGATGTGTTTTTAGCTTAATGCATCCAAATAGGTCTGAACACGAATTTTCATTATGGCAACATGGGAGCCATATACAGTATATATACACATATATTCCAAAACTGAGGCTCCCAGACCCGAATGGCAGTCAGGAGCTCCCGAATGCAATTTGGAAATTCAGATCCCAAATGTAATTCGGTACTAGGAGATTCAGCTTTAGTATTAATATCTGTATATGGTTTTCTGTGGTATTCGCAACAAATATTTGTCAACTCATCCGAAACTAACGAAAATTCCGATTTATTCTGAATCCAAAACCCGAAGCGGATTGAATTTTGCATTCGAAACCCGAAACAACAAAATATTCGAACCGAACCAAATTTTGTCTGCAGCTTACATGTCTAGTAATAATACCACCACTAGCAGATTAACTACCATGTGTTAGGCCTGCCAAGAATTCCCACCCATCAGTCCAATTTCCTGACCGGTAGTCTTGTTATCCCGGTGTCAGGTGGAGAGACAGATGGGAATCTCACAGCCAGGGTATGCAGAGACCCGATGAACAAAATGTAGGCAGAACAAGACCAGCAATACAATAATAATAATGAAAGGAACTACACACAGTATGGTGTTAGCCAGGATCAGTAGCCAGTAATTAGAATTGCGCAGTACCAAATGAAATGGGATCTCAGCGTCAGAATCCAGGCCGGGACAGCAACAAACCAAAGGCAACAGGTCCAAAGGGTAGTCCAGAAGAAGCAGAGTCAAAGTCCAAGCCAGGTCAGCAACAAATGGAAGCACAGTACAAAAGGGTAATCCAAAGGCAGGTAGGGGACAAGCGTATCATAAACCAGGAATCCAATATATTAAAGACAATCACACCCAGGATGCACACAGGAAATCATATACTTGGGCAAAGACAGGAAGGTGGCAGATTAGGTAATTTCCTGCAGCTGACCAGTAGGTGGGGCAGAGCCCTATACACTGTAGGTGGATAGGACAAGGTCAGCACAAAATCAGAACCCTCCAGTGGCTCCACAAGCAAGGAAACAACCCAGAGACCAAATGTTCCCAGGATCGTTTCCAGGCAAGGGTGTGATACCATGCACATCCTTGTAGACACAATGAGAACACATCATTTTGAAGAGTTGGCATTACTGAACTCTATTTCTGAATACTGCACAGCAGGCATCTGTGGAAAAATGGCTGATGACCATTACTAATGATGCACCTAGATGGCTCACTTGAAATAAGCTTCTCATCTTGCCCGATGTCAAAAACAGTCTGGTTTATGGGAGCCTTTGTATGGCATTTATCTAAAGTGTAAAATGTTATTATATAACTGAATTTTTTCTTCATGTAAAACTACTATACGTAGACAGATAAAAATTGACACCATACTATATAATTTTTTCTTTTACGCATCTTCACAGCCTGGTGGTGTCCTAGAGGAGAAATCATTTAGCTCTCTGATGTGCATACAAGAGGGAAAAGGTAAGGAATATTAGGGAAGGTTTACAGAAATGGTTTGTATTGTCTATATTAACTATTCCGGGATTCCATGGTTACTATGGGCAACCATTATGGGCAAAACTGCATTTGAAAGCTGGAATCATATTAGTTACTACTGAGTGAGAAAGACCTGTTTTATTCATTTTGGGCAAATATTATTGTACTTCCTTGGTATCAGTGATAGAATGGAAGAGCCATTGACCCTGAAAATCTCTCTGAACATTCAATCTGTGCAAATAGAGGCAAAAATGAACATTCTTAGTATATTTTCTTTCTAGATTGAATGTCACATTCAGAAGATACCATATTATGGCCACTGGAGGGAGCTGAGGAGCTTAGGAAATACTTAAAGTAATATTAAACGCGCAAACTTTTTCTCAATAATGAATCCAGATCAAACAAATATACATTGCCGAGCAAAGTATTTATTTTTGCCCAAGCATTTACAGTCATCATGTTGAAAAACAGCTCCAACTCTCTCAGATCAACTTCCCTAAACTTACTGTCCAGTACAAGATCACAAGGGACAGAACAGTCTCCAGCAGCCATCCATCTACTAGCTGAAAGAAGGGAGGAGGGAGGAAGGAGGAGCACGGAACAGGGGAGTGTCTTGCCTTTCTCTCTGTGCCTGTGAGTTTGTGGAGACACACACTTAGCATATGAAGAGAAAGGTTTGTTGCACTCCTTAACGGATATTCCCAAATATGGGGAAGGGTGCTTGGAATGACCGCGGATGGCGCCGCCAGTTGCAGATAATAAAGAGATGTCACCAGCACACCAGACTCCTTCAAGGATAGTCAATCGTGAAGGGATGCCTGATGAAGAGATCGTGTGTGGTCCCGACAGTGCTTGTGTATTTGACATAAGTTTTGAATAAATTCACGATTGACTATCCTTGAAGGAATCTGGTGTGCTAGTGATAACACTTTATAAGCAGACACAAAGGTGGTTTCATAGAAACCTGTGAGGGAAAGGAGGCAACCTAAACCATGATATCGGGGATAGGGTTCATTTAACCTAAAAAGAAAATAAGTAAAAAAGTTCATTTTTGCCTTTTTGCGCTAAATGAACATTCACAGAGATTTGAAGGTGGAAAGGCTTTGCGAATTGTTTATATATAAACCCCACTGAAATATGTTAATGTTTATCTCCAACTTTGAAAAAAAGACTTTTAATCTCATATAAAATGTACCTCTGTCAACGGTAACATTTTAATTATATATTTCAGTGAGCTAAGTTACCTGCTGGAGTTCTGTATCTCCTTGGGACTCTAGCAAAATCTCCTCACCATAGTTCCCACTTCTGTTTTCTCTCACTTTGGAGTCTAATTCATACTACACCAACAACAGTGTGTTCTTGAGCTTCCACTCTTACAGTTACAATATCTATATTGTAAAATAACTTTAGCACACAAAAGGGAAAGCTGGAACCGCCTGCCATTGTTTGAGCAGAGCCATGAATTAAAATCCAGAGATCTCCACCACACGAGACATAAAAATTGTGATTTAACCCTCCAGAATCAGTTTTAAATAGGCTAACATTTGTTTAAAATATGAAAGTAACGTGATATGCTCTTTCATTGATAGTTTTTTAAATATATTTTTATTCCAGACAATTCAAAGACAGAGGACGTCAATCTAAAGGTTCCAGAGAAAGTTCTGGAGAATTCTGAGAGAGCTCACATCACAGTTCTGGGTAAGATATATAGGATCTTCTCAAATTTGAATTCACTTTTAGAGGATATATATCCAGTACCTTTTTTTTCTAAACATTCCTAATTACGATCATTCATTCTATAAAGCAGCAGTAATCTTTAGATCGCAATTGATCTACATAATGTTATAAACATCATAGAATGGACCGATCAGTTGTATTGGTCAACATACTGTAGATGGATACAACAAAGGAAAAAAACTGCTTCCAGACTACAACTGACCTTCACTAGGACAGTGAACACATTCGCCAACAGTCAGGAAGAAATCCTTGTAAGGATCATTCAATCTGCAGAACAAGAAATGTGCAGACATATAAAACTGCAATTTTCTTGTAGCTCAAATTTTCAATTGGCTTAGTGACATTCAGATGGAAAATTGTGAAGTATATGCAGGCACGCTCTAAAGATCTATCTCTATAATATCAGTGGTTGTAGAAAGGATATATCTGTTCAAGGATCACTCACAAGGATGATACATAAGTAATATCTAATCCCTTTATGAGTAGCGCAATGTAGATTGCCCACCACATCAAGGAATCCATTGTTCCTAAGTGAGCAATCATCCTTCAGATATTTCAGATAATTCCAGATCTCTGATCCTCAATCATATACAATATCAGATACATAAGAGATACTTTTTCTCCAGCTACGATTCCTACGATTCATATTCTGTCATATCCCCAAAGTATTTTATATATTCACTATTGTGAAACAGTGATTCACTAGGACTTGACAGTCACATTCTAAAATCAGGAGTTGATTGTTTTTATTTTACTATTCTGACCAGAACAAAATAAAATTATTCTTTATTAAAGGAGAACTAACCCCTACCTTTTTTTTTGTAATCCCCTCTTATCATGTTCACTCAGTTGTCCTCATAACAGATATTCACATGTCTCTCACATGCAGTGGCTAGCTGTCTCTTCTGAGTTCTTGCAGCGACTCCATGATGACACATAGCGGGGAATTTATCCATACTGGATCAGACAAAGTCTGGAGCAGTTGCCTATGTTTTTTAGTTTTCAGCTTATACAGCAAAAACTTTCATGCACAGTTCAGAAACATGTCAAGAAACATCAGGGAAAGGACCAAAACAGGAGCAGACAAAATCTGGAGCAGCTGTGCATGGTAACCAATCAGCTTCTCTCTTGGGATGCATGATGACAGTATCACAGGAGGCTGCAGGTGCCTGGGATGTCATTCTTACCGGTGAGTTCTGGGAAGGGTCCCAAAGAGAAAAAGGTATTTGGGGAAAAAAAAAATGTCCGATAGTGAGAGATGAGGAGGGGGTGGGGTGGTAAGTATGTAATAAGGGAAAGTGGGTGGGGAGGGTGAAGGTCTGCTTTAAAGTAGAGTGGACAAACATGGAAAGTAAAAAGTTGTACGATGTTTCAAAGCATTTAAAAACATGCTGACTTAGCGTTGTAAAGCAATTCTACCTAAAATGTGCCTCATGTTATTCTTTTACAGGAGACCTGATGGGTACAGCCATGCAAAACCTGGACCGACTCCTGGCCATGCCATACGGGTGCGGGGAACAGAACATGGTTCTCTTTGCCCCTAATATCTTCATTTTGCAGTATCTGCAGAACACTCACCAACTGACTGATGAGATAAAGAGTAAAGCCATCAGGTTCCTGGAGAGTGGTAAGACTTGCTGGGCCAGACTACCCCTCACGTTATATCTAATCTTTTGCAAATCCATAAATGCTTATATGAAACTTCACGTTTTGTTCAGTAAAACAGCCTTTAGGTAAACTACATCCAATGGAAGAATTTTAGTAAACGTAAGTGCATGATTTTACTTTTATCTTAAAAATAAAGTTTAATTATGACCTAACACTGGGAATAGGAAGATCTGCTTTCATTATTAACATTTGAGAATCTCGGTACTAAGATAAGTGCGGTAATAATAAAAGCAGCATGCCTTTACTTGCACAGAGGCAACATTAACTCCTCTGCATTGTTCACACAGTCCAGTTGCAATGAGGTGCATTTAGGAAGGTTTTACATGTGTTACCACTCATTCCCTTAGAAAGTGTGTTTTGCTGAAATCTGCACCAAATAAATAATGCCATCTATCCTTAAAGCAGAATTAAAGTTATTTATTTTTAATGCAAACATTCTGCAAATTGCAAGTTAAAAATAGTACATGCATGCACACTAGCTACTGTGCTGGCATAACTGAAGAACCTAGCATTCTTTATGGCCTCTTGGTTTCAGCTCTACAGAAGTAATTGGCTTTCCACACCTCCCTCTTAGTATGTCATTATGGTCCTATATTTGCATAAAAGAAAATCACTGCACTGAGCAATGTGGCTCCTCACAGTCCTGTCCTATTGTATGTTCTCCCTTCACATTTGATTGACAGCTGCATTTAGTAAAACAAGTAACAAGTGGCTGATAAAAGAGTGGAAGAGTAAAGATTGGGTGGGGATGGAACTGCCCTATTACACATCCTGTAGAATTTCCTGTAAGGGAATAATTACATCAGCAACTCCTTCAGTCCCTTCTATTAATGCTGAGAAGACATACTGGAACAAATGTAGCAAGATAGCATAAGAATAAAGTATAAAGTAAGGATAAGGCAAACTATAACAGAGTTTTCCAAGTATGCATGCAAGCATAATCTTCAACCTGCAATTTCAAAATGTTTGAATTGAAAAAACAATACTTTAGTTCTGCTTTGGGTATCTTTTTGCTGGTAATTTTTAAGGTCTTTAGGCTTCTGTAATGCACAGTATGTCTGAATGGAGATGTTAAAGCTCAATTCTGGGGTGCTGTCAGATTTAC